GCGATAGAGGTAACCGTGTCATCTTTGATTATAGTAAATGCATTGTAGAACGCTTGTGTGACGATAAGATTATTCTTTGTGGTAGTAGGGTAGATAACATTTATATATTTGATCTTGGAAATTCCCCATCTACCTTAGCTAAGTACCTTATTACTAAAGAGGAGGAAACGTGGCTATGGCATCGTCGGATAGCTCACATTAACATGGACCATCTTAACAAGTTGGTTTCTAGAGACTTAGTAATTGGTATTCCTAAGCTTAAGTTTGAGATGGATCTAATTTGTGATGTATGTCAAAAGGGGAAGCAAGTAAGGGATTTGTTTAAGTCAAAGAACATAGTTTCTACGACTAGGCCTTTACAACTTTTGCACATGGACCTTTTTGGACCTTCAAGAACTATGAGTTTAGGAGGCAATTACTTCTGATCTGGTATCGTTGATGACTATTCGAGGTATACATGGACACACTTTCTTGCTCATAAGTATGATGCACTTAATGTTTTTAAGAAATTTATTAAATTGGTTCAAAATGAAAAAGATTGTCACATTGCATCCACTAGAAGTGATCATGGGGGAGAATTCGATCAAGATGGCTTAAATGTCATATGTGACGAATTAGGCATTGAGCATAATTTCTCAGACCCCCGTACACCACAATAAAATGGCGTAGTTGAATGAAAAAATAGATCTCTTGAAGAGATGGCTAGGACTATGCTCAATGAGGCAAACCTTCCTAAATACTTTTGGGCAGATGCCGTGAGTACCGTGTGCTACGTGTTAAACTAAGCCGTCATTAGACCGATACTCAAGAAAACGCCCTATAAACTTTACAAAGGAAGAAAGCCTATGTAACGCCCCAAAATATACCCTAAAAGTTATATTGAATTATTATTCAATTAACCAAACTGTTTGATTAAAATAAATTGTTGTTGGACTTTAGGCCGAAATAAAATCCAATAAACATAATTGGGATAAATCTCATAGAGATAAATCCAATATGTTGACTACTTGTGTAGTCTTGATTGGGAATCAGAGTACAGACCCAAATTAATAAATAAAGAAATTGTTTATGATGTGCACTTTGAAATGATTTATTAAAATAAATCACGAGAACAAATAATATGAATTTGATGAGAGAACCTTTTTGAATAAAGGCCAATAAAATCAATTTTGACTCTGTCAAAGTCAAACATCCAAAAATATGATGTCGGAAAAAGAATTACAAATAAAAGTAAAAATTATATCTTTGGACAGAGTTTAACATCCCGATCACAATGCTGCCAACAGAAATTAATTCGGAGAATGTTGGACCAAAAAGTGTATCCCAAGTGGGACCAAAATTAGTCCCAAGCAGGGAACAATACCTCCTCCTCCACTCAGCCGATTTTGAATCAATTCCTACGCAGCACCAGCTAAGCAAGTGTCCTCTTTCCCCTCATCAACTCCTATATAAGAGTACTCAAAACCTTTAAATCTGCACCATTCTTTCTGAAAATCGTTTCATAAGAATCATGAGAGTGAGGAGAGTAGTATGCTAGTGTTAGTTGCCATCAAGGTCGCTGGAGTTAGCCGTAGTGTTTGCCGGAAGTTTCACCGTTCAATCGGCGGAATCATCGTTAAGCTACGAGGTAAGCCCGTAGATATATCTAGTGACTAGAATTTTGTATAGATCGATTGTTTCTACGTTCATAAACGGTCGTTTGGTTGAGTTTTGTGTTTGACATACTTGAAGAAAGAAGAATCATAAACCTTGAAATTGTAGTTAAAACTATGAATTAATGATACCAAAATGATCTATGAACCTTGAAGAACATTTCTATATAGTTTAATTGAAGTTTGGTGACTAAAAATGGTATTTTTGAAATTGGACCTGAAAGGAAGAAGAAGATGAACAGTGATCGAAAAACCAGATGGTGGATCAATCCACCCTCCTGGATCTATCACCTGGGGAATTTCTTCTATGGTGGATCGATCCTAGGTACTGGATCGATCCCCCGATCGGATTGCTCCGAAAATATTTCTGAAAAAGTTGTTTTTGAGCTCTAAAATCCTATTTTTGATACTAATTATTTATGATCAATATATATAAATATGATTTTTCACAATAAAAATGATATTTTTGACAAACAAAACCTAATGTGATGCATGATGGTAAGTTAGAGTGCGTGTTAACACTCGAAGCTAGGCTGCTATTTGTTATTGGATGTTGTATTGATTGATGATTAAGATGAATGGTTATTATGGATGATTATGATTAAATGAATTTACTGATTAAAATTATAATTATGAATTATTAAATCATAATGAATATATTGATGATTATGAAAATAATACGTATTGTTAGGGATATCTAGAAAAACTCTAGGATATACCCATTTGTAAATTAATGTTGATTATCTAGGATATCTAGAAGAACTCTAAGATATACTTAGGATGACGTTGGTTTCTAAGACTATCTAGAAGACTTCTAAGATAGCTTAGAAATAGGCCTTGCGGGTATAATTATGAATATTCGGTGGCCTGGGTAAAAACGTACGTACGGGATCTACAAACCAAACTTGAGGATCACTCGTTTGAAGATACCACCCAACGCGGTAGTGAGCATTCCGCTGTTCGATTTATGGTTCACCTTAAGCGAAGGTATGTTTAAGATTTTGAAAACCTCTTTTGAAAATTTGTATCTTAAACTAGGTCTAGCTTAAGGGTTAGTTAGAAGTACATTAAACTGAGTATAGTTTAAGAACCTTAAACTAAAATTCGTTTAAGAGTTGGTAAATATTAAAGAGATTGGCCTTAGACTAAGAATAGTTAAAGGATATTGTTGAATGTTGAATATGAATGTTGAATGTTGAATATTGAATGTTGAAAGATGAATATTGAATATTTATTATTGAATATTTGAAGTGAACATTTTGTGCATGATATCAAATGATTTGATTATGAATTTAGATTAAGTTTATATGAATGTTCGACGCATTAGATATGCTTGCTCAGCTTCAACGCTAAGCGTGTAGTCTGTTTTATTTGCTACACGCAGGTAAATAGAAAGAATGATGTGACGTGGTCTTGAAGGCAGACGGAGACAAGATTGTCGGAATGGATGTGATGGTTTTGAATTGAAGAACATAAATAAATTATATTTTGTGATTTTAATTTGTTAAGCTTCCGCAACATTGAAAATTTCATACTGTTTATGTTATGAATAATATTATTGTGATAAATAAAAGTGTCTGAAATGTTTTAAATTTTTACGATTACCAAGTTAATATTTTAGTCTAAAAGGGGTTGCAGACCTGGACGGATTTAGGTGTTACAATTTGGTATCGGAGAAAATGGTTTTAAAACTGATCTTCAGATCAAAATTTGATTTAAAAAAAATATATCACATCGACGACTCTCGCATCCCTCTGCTCCAAGAAAGGTAATAAAAATTTACTTGGTATATATTAACTATGTTAAAATTTTATTAGATAGCAATTCTTAGTACTGAAATCATATCGAGCAAAGGCTCAAGTTAAATTTTCGTACTCGACAAGGGACGAAAGAATAAACGCAAAATGTATGACTCTCTGATCTGATATCAACGTGTTTATCGCATCGTGAATGACGAAGGTAAAAATTTAACTATGTGGGAACGAGACGATCTTGAAGAAATGATTAATGTTGATATTCCAAACAACATCTGTGAATTCAGTGTCAAAGATCATCATATGGACTCAAGATGATTTGATCGCTGATTCAAACACGAATGTTTAGAATCAATAAACCCTGTTATCTAAAGTATCTCATTCCGATGTCTAACCCATTACGACAGAATATGTGATTATATCATGTGAATCCAAATCGTTTCTTAAGCAACAATTCCTTGCAAAACCTCGTTGAAATACCATACAAGGAAATTGACATTATCCTTAGTATGAAAATGCTGACTAAACGTCGTTGCTGTTGACAACTTGTGATGAAGATATCTTCAATTGAAAACTAATGATGGTAACCTTATAGAGGTGAAAGAAAAGCTAATTTCTATACCGACCGAGTTCATCTCAAATATACATGCAAAAACGTCTCAAGTGTAAGAAGTGTGAAGTCTATTTGTGTGATACGCGAAAAGAAACCTTTGAATTGAAGGACATACCGAAAGTATGTCACTTCTCTGATATGAAATTCCTAATATTCCATCATTCTGAGAAATTGAATTCTCTATCAATCTTTTTCCTAGAAAAGACCGAAAATCATAACTCCATATTGAATGTCGTTCCTTGAGATTGGAAACTCCACTATAAGAATTGTTTGACAAAGAATCACCTGACCAAGTGTTTTCTCCTTAGAGAGTGCCTGTTCTGTTCATACGCGAATAAAGATGGATCGATGAGATTCTGTATCAACTACTATCAATTAAATAAAGAACAAAAATCGTTATCTTTTACCTCGTATCGAGGACTTATTTGATCAGCTTAGAGGATCCATTGTGTTCTCTAATATTGATTTACGGTCAGGTAACTATCACATCCCTGTTAAGAAAGATGAACAATCTGACGATCAAGAATCGCTACGCTTTGCTACGTACAGACGATCTGTTCGGTCAAATTCAAAGAATCGCTACGCTTTGCTACGTATAGAGGACTCAACCTTGTTGAATGAACTGACGCGTTACTATGAAGCGATTGGTGACTTAATTGCTTATCGTTGAAAACATTGATGGAGTCTAATGGAATGAACAATTTAAAGTGATGCTAACATATCAACAAGACAAATCATTGTCTCGCCAGTATACCATATTTATGTGAGAGATCGCAACGTGATAGCAATACAAAATAAAACGTGCAACAGTGACACTATTTGATATTTACATGATACATTCTGATGTTGGAAATAAATATTCTTCTAACTTGCACTGGCCACTAGCCATGCAACTTAGAATAATATTTATGGCTAACTTATAATGTTCATGGACAATATTATTCAACACAAATACAACTTAGATTACATAAGGAACGTTACAGATGCAATTCTATGTCTATCCTTCCAAGATATGCAAAATCATCATAACTAGCTCCAGGACCCAGAAAAGCTTTAGCAAACTCTAGTTTGTCTAAAAGCTCATCAACAAAGAAAGAAGAAATAAAAAGTTTCCTCTGACTGGAAGCCATGAAGTTCTGCCTCACCGCATCATCTACAAAATTGATTAGGTAATTGAAATAACCGTCAATATTCAAGAGACCAATGGGTCTACCGTGCAACCCTTCAGATGCCCACGAGATTAAGATGAACAAACCTTTCATAGTGTCGACTCCTCTGGGAAGTACGATGAAAGCCTCCACAACATGATTCATTTCGAAATACTTATAGTAGTTGCTGGAAACTGTATACTCTACCCCGTACGTGGGTCCATAGACTTGTCGTGTTACTAAGTACCCTGGTATGAACCCTCTAACTATACCACCATTGGTGTAGACTGTTGAAGTAAGAGCTCCATAAAGGCCAACATTACCTCCTACATAGGTAAGCCTAATTTTTCGCCTTATGAATTTGACGAAAGAGTTTTAGCGGTAGTAAATTTCACTCTAAAAGAGATCGATTTATTCCCGTGTCGTATTCACGTGGATTGGTGTTAAAATAAATTTTCTATTAAAATCTAGTTAGGCAAAGTTTTACTCATTGGGTTTGGAAGCCTTCTAAATTTAAAAAGTGTTTGTGGTTTGGATTTGAAACTGAGTTGGACAGAGTAATAAAATAATTGTTTGATAAAAAGGGAATATGAATTGATTTCAGGTAGTAGGAATTTTTCAGATATTTTAACTAATTGGATTATTAAATTAACTAATTAATTTAGCTAGTGAGTAATTCTGTCACAATAACTCCATTAATTTTATCCTATCTTTAGGCATTATTAATGTGCTAGAATTGATTGACTAAATTATTTTTCTCATTCATTGACCAATGGACATAATAATTTTTCAAACATTAACTAATAAATTGGCCAGATTAATTATTTAGAAGATACAACAATTACTAGCAACTTAACATTTTAATTAAATAAATTTAATATTCCAACATAATTATTTTTCCTACATTCCTACTACCCTAATTTCAATTCACATTCCTAATATATTTAAAAGGACATAGTAATAATAAAAAGTGGACAAATTGAATAACAAAACATGTTTATAATATTAATTAAAGAAACTTACAACTTCCAGATAGACGGAATTAGAACAGAACTGGAACTGAAACTCCAAAAATAAACTAAAACTATGAAATTTTTATGAATTCTCGCTACTATGGAGAGGAAAAACCGAAGAGAGGAATGAATGGTTTGAAGACTGATCGTTGCTGCCTTTTATAGGCTTAGGAATCTCCGGGGCGGGGTGTGGGGCGGCCGCCCGGCAGGTCGCCCTAGAGGGGACATCTGAATATTCCTTCGCAACTTGATGCCAGTTGCTGATATCTCGCGTTTGAATTCTGGGGCTGGGGCTGGGTCCGGGGCGGTCGCCCGAGAGGTCGCCCTGCAGTCGATTGAAATTATCTCTACAAAAGTTCCGCCACTTGCTTATATCTGGCATTTGAATTCCGGGGCTGGGTCCGGGGCGGTCGCCCAGCAGGTCGCCCGGCCCAACCTTAGGATTTGGGCTTCGAATTTCTGTGCCAAGCTCCATATTTTGTGCTGAACATTTTTCTCTTCTAGAGCTATGGACGAAATTGAGTTTAAACATCTCAAATGTTTTATTTTCTTTCAAGTTTTTACTCCGTTTGAACCAGTTTCTGTTTCAAAATTCCAAATTTGTTTTGAACACCCTTTTCTATAAACAAAATGACAACTTTGAGATATTTACGAAAGAAAATAAATATTTTTACTTTAATTAAATTTATTTACACACAAAAATGTTTAAATATAAGTAAAATAATAAGTACAAATTGTACTTATCAAATTCCTCACACTTAAACGTTGCTTGCCCTCAAGCAACAAACTGAATAACTAAAAGAACAAGGACAACTTAACACATACACGAAAAATATTTACACAATCTATTTGTAGGAACAAGATATTGGACAGTCATCAACTTAATTTTCTAAAAAGAAGTTTAACCCATATTGTTAGGAAATAAATCTTTTGTCAAACTCATATTTTTATACAAATTTAATCAAATTTGGTTTGCATGATCAAAATTTAGGAATATTGGTGTTATCAAAATCATGTTCTCTAAATTTTAAATAACAATTTATTTAGTTACTTGNTTTACACAATCTATTTGTAGGAACAAGATATTGGACAGTCATCAACTTAATTTTCTAAAAAGAAGTTTAACCCATATTGTTAGGAAATAAATCTTTTGTCAAACTCATATTTTTATACAAATTTAATCAAATTTGGTTTGCATGATCAAAATTTAGGAATATTGGTGTTATCAAAATCATGTTCTCTAAATTTTAAATAACAATTTATTTAGTTACTTGAATATTTTACAAGGTCAAAGAATCTTTAATGATTGAATTAGAAAATTGTTTCTTGAAAATGTAACTTTGCAATATTTTTTTTTGTGTTTTTTTGATAACATCACCTTGTCATGTTGACACGAGCTAAAACTTTGATCCTCATATCATGACATAGAACCACGAGTTTTTTGGATTTTTATTCACTCAAAAACCTCATCACACGACATGGAACCGCATGCTTTTTGGCACTTACCCAAAATAAGTCCCATCATCTGATATAGAACCAAATGCTTTTTGACCTTAAATTCACTCCAGAACTCGTTCTCACCAAAGTGTGTTGCAAAAATGTTTTATTTGAGAAAGAACTTTTAAACAAACAATAAGTGCTAATATTTTGAAAAATAGCGGAGCAGTATCTTAACAGATTTCTAATAAAACAATTAAAAATTATTTGACCTTGCGAAATATTTTTGTACAGAATAAATATTTACTGAAAATTAGAGAGCATGATATGAAAACAATTGTTAGACCAAAATTTGTCAATTTGTACCAAAAATTTTTCAAAAATTTGCACAAAAATCTAAGTTTGACAAAAAATTTTAAGTTTCCTTATTTTTAGGGTAAAAGAATTTTTCTTAGAAAACTGAAATTGATGACTGTCTATATAATTTTCCTACAAGTATAGAGATAAATTATATTTCTAAAAAGTGATTCAACCATAACTCTCTCCTCCTCACACTTAAACGGAACCGCGCCCTCGCGGGTTTTAAAGTGATCAGAAATTAGAGTTATGGTAGAAGAACTTGCAAGCAAATACTAAGTTGTCCTCACACTTATAGATAAACAATATGCTTATGTAGATAAAAGTAATTTAAAATAAACATAGTTTACCAAAGGTGTGTTCAAAACAAACTTGAAGTTCCAACCATTCCTGAGTCAAACAAACAAAACAAAAGAAACATATTAGTGCAGGGGAATGGCTTACTGCCCACGTCCCCCTCCTTGCCCGCGACCGCGCCCTCTCTGGCGAGTGGTGCTAGGGACTCCACACTGTGCCTCCATGTAGTCTAAGATTTGGGCAATCTGCGTACCCTGCTCTGAAAGGCTAGTCTCAATGTGCTGCTGATGATCCTGGTTCTCCTTCCAGCGAGTCTCTTGACGTTGCTCAAAGGCGGTCCACCGCTGCTCATAAACCTGGAAGCGTGAATCAATCGATGTCCGGAGATCACCAAAAGCAGTGGTCAGCTCCTCAAATGTAGTAGGCAATGGACGTGGAATAGCAGAGGAAGAGGCTCCATCTGCGGGCATGCTTGCCGGCATGTATGAAGGACTGCCTGTTCCTGTGCCCTAATCTGGCTCGTATCTAGTGTCGCGTGGCCTCTTTCTGAATCCCATATGAATGAGAGACTCAGAAGTGATAGGCCGTACACTAGACTCCTCTGGGAGAAGGTCTGGGATGACGATGGTAGGCACGAGGGCGCGCGCCAACAGAGTGACAATGGGTCCTGCCTGGATGTGATGGCGGTTTCCTGTCGACTGATCAAACAGGAAACGCCCAACAAAAGAGGAAAGGTCCACAGGTGTGTGGCTCTCCAGGCTCCAAAAGAAGATCAAATCAGTGTCGTAAACTCTGTTGGCGTTCTTATGACGCCCAAAGTAGCTGCAGCAGAGGAGGTGACTAAGTATCCTCCACGCAAGACTCCTCCAATCAGATGATGAGATGTACTTGTTGCTGAAGTCTCGAGTGCTACGTGAATGAGTCCTCCAAAATGCCTTGACGTCAACATCCAACGGAAGTCGACGTGGCAGGGCGAGAAAGTCCGGTGAGGTCGTCTCCTCATGAGTATAAATCCCCAGCAGGCGTCCTAGATCAAGAACGGGGATATCAAATCTCGTCCCAAGAAGGGTGAACGTCATCCGTACTGAGGGATGCACTCCCTCCACATCTCGAACTCTGCTCCCATAAACGCTGAACCTCAGCGAGCAGATGAACTCCATCGTCAGTGGCACGCTAGCTGGTGCACGGAGTGAAAGCAAACGCCTCCATTTGGGGTCATGGAGGAAGTCGTCAACCTCCTCCCAATACCCCATGCTCTCCAGCGCTACATGGTCCAATATCATCGGCAGCGTCAATACCTTCTTGCTACCCCAATCCCGATATCGATCGCGTGCATCGGGGGTAGCAAAAGGTAAATCTAGTCCACTAGCAGGAAAATCAGCCATCTGCACAAAATTGAACAAACATGTTAAACTTGCCCCCAAAATCTTGTGCGACAAGTACTTTTTTTGTGTGTTCTATGTTCTTTTCTCTCACTTCTCTCAAAATAAGTGTGTTAAAAATGGTAACCGGACCAATTTAGAATATTCGGGATCGGGCAAAATGCTGCCAATTAGGTGCTCTTAGGCTCACCCGAATAAACCTTTCTACAGAATGACCAGTAGGAATGGTGGGACAAGTTCAGCTCCCGAAGGCGTCACCCTCTTGTGTCCACTTAAGTACCATTCCAGCTTAGACAATCATTCTGTACACGGTACAGCTATCATTTTTATCACACAAATACAAAAATCTTCCTCTCTCTCTCTCTCTTTTTTTTAACGGGTTGCCTCCCGTTCAGCGCTTCTTTAACGTCATTTAGCTGGACGCATTTCTCCTTCTTCAGTCCTCCAAGACTTGGAGGTACATCATGGTTTTCTCTCGGAATACATCTCCTCCCTCAAATTTCTTCAGGCGGTGACCATTGACTTTGAATTCACCATTTTTCCCTCGAATTTCTACTGTTCCATACGGATAGACTTTCACCACTTCGAACGGTCCAGACCATCGGGACTTCAGTTTCCCGGGAAACAACCTCAACCGGGAATTGTACAGAAGTACTTGGTCCCCTTCTTCGAACTCTTTGGACTGTTTAATGTGCGAATCGTGGTATTTCTTGACGCGCTCCTTGTATAGCAGATTGTTGTGGAAAGCCAACATTCTCCACTCATCTAACTCGTCCAGCTGGTAGAATCTCTCCCTTCCTGCGGCTGATGAATCCAAACACACGTTTCTGAGTGCCCAGAGTGCTTTGTGTTCGATCTCGACGGGCAGGTGACAAGATTTCTCATAAACGAGATGGAAAGGAGTAGTTCCGATGGGAGTTTTATAAGCAGTTCGGAAGGCCCATAAGGCATCATCAAGCTTCAAACTCCAGTCTTTCCGAGTCTTAGCAACGGTCTTTTCCAGGATCGCCTTCAGATCTCTGTTCGTGTTCTCCACTTGGCCTTGAGTCTGGGGATGGTAAGCAACACCCCCTCTGTGTTGGACTCCGTATCTCTGCAAGGTTCTGTCCAAGGGATCATTTCGGAAATATGTCCCTCTGTCACTAATCAATACTCGAGGTACTCCGAACCTCACAAACAATTTCTTCAAGAAATGTACCACCGTGCGTGCATCATCCCTCTGACAAGCTTGGGCTTCGGCCCACTTCGAGACGTATTCGACCGCCACCAGGATGTATTTATTTCCGTATGAGCTTGGGAATGGTCCAAAAAAGTCAATACCCCAAACATCAAATACCTCACAGGAAAGTATATAATGTTGTGGCATGTCATCACGACGGGTGATGTTTCCCGTCCTTTGGCATTCCTCACACCTGGTCACAAATGTATGGGCGTCTCGAAAAATGGTGGGCCAAAAGAACCCACTGTCCAGCACCTTCCGTGCGGTTCTTGTTCCTGAAAAATGGCCACCAACTGGCCCAGCATGACAGTGTTTCAGTATCTCTTCCCCTTCTTCTTCATTCACACACCTTCTCACCACCCGGTCAGCGCAAATCCGGAATAGGTAGGGGTCCTCCCAGAAGTAGTGATTGGCTTCCCGTTTGAGCTTCCGTTTCATATGAGAAGAGATCATGGTAGGTTCAATATTACCAGCTAAGAAGTTAGCTATATCAGCATACCATGGTGACTTCTCATCAGCTCTGAGTATCCTCTCAAACGGAAATACCTCATTGACTATGCATTCTCCAAATTGACCGGCCATGTCTGGTTCTAGACGAGACAGGTGGTCGGTAGCCTGATTTGCGGACCCACTTCGGTCCTTGACCTGAACTTTAAACTTCTGCAATAATAATACCCACCGTAACAGCCTAGGCTTTGCGTCATTCTTCTGAAGTAGATATCTTAACGCCGAATGATCGGTGTAGACAGTAACTTCCGACAGAATGAGGTAAGGCCTAAACTTTTCCAGAGCATATACTATGGCGAGGATTTCTTTCTCGGTGGTGGTATAATTCAGTTGTGGCCCTGACAATGTTCTACAAGCGTAGTAAATAGGATGGAAGTCTTTACCCTCCCGTTGGCCAAGAATAGCCCCTATCACTTGATCACTAGCATCACACATAAGCTCGAATGGTTTGGTCCAGTCACGAGCCACAAGGACTAGTGCGGTGGTCAATTTTTCCTTTAGAGTGTTAAAGGCTTTTAGGCATTCGTCATCAAAGTCAAATTCTGCTCCTTTTTCTAGCAGACGGGTTAAAGGCTTTGCTATTTTAGAGAAATCCTTTATAAACCTTCGATAGAAACCAGCGTCGCCAAGAAAGCTACGGATGGCTCTAACGGAAGTTGGTGAGGGAAGTTTCTCTATTGTTTCAATTTTTGCCTTATCAACCTCGACACCCTTGCTAGAGACCTTATGCCCTAGTACGATCCCTTCCTTGACCAAAAAGTGGCATTTCTCCCAACTTAAGGCCAGGTGGGTCTCCTCGCACCGCTTTAAAACCTTCTCAAGGTTCTTGAGACATTCCTCAAATGATTCCCCAATGATGGAGAAATCATTCATGAAGACCTCCATGAAATCGCCAATAAATTTCTCAAAAATTGTGATCATACATCTCATGAAGGTGGCAAAGGCATTAAATAAACCAAAAGACATTCGCCGGAAGGCGAACGTTCCGAATGGACATGTAAATGTGGTCTTTTCCTGATCCTCGAGGTTAACATGAATTTGGAAGTAACCGCTCATTCCATCAAGGAAACAGTAATAAGCATGCCCCGCTAGTCTCTCAATTAACTGGTCAATAAATGGAAGAGGAAAATGGTCTTTCCGGGTGGCATCATTCAGTTTGCGATAGTCAATTACCATTCTCCAGCCGGTGACTGTGCGACTGGGCACAAGTTCACCCTTCTCATTTTCTACAACTGTCATTCCTCCCTTCTTTGGGACAACATGAATGGGACTGACCCACCGACTGTCAGAAATAGGGTAGATGATACCCGCGTCTAACAATCGGAGGATCTCCTTCTGGACAACCTCATTAACTTCGGGTTAAGCCTCCGTTGTGCTTGAACAACGGGCTTACACCCTTCTTCAATCGCAATTTTGTGGGTGCAAAAGGCCGGGCTGATTCCTTGAATATCCTCCAACTTCCAAGCAAAAGCTTGCTTGTGTTGTCGGAGGACTGTTATTAGATTAGCCTTTTGTCCCATACTCAGATCAGATGCGATGACGACTAGGCATTTGCCCTCGTCATCCAGAAATGCATACTCGAGATGTTTAGGAAGTGGTTTCAATTCTAGGGAGTCAGATCCCTTTGATTGATCATTTCTGGTCTTCACTTCCGAAACATCCTCACACTTGTCTTGTTCAGCTTCTTTTTCCTTCAAAATCTCTTCCAGACCAAGAAGTGTCTCAACAGACCCTTTGTCTTTCAAAATTTTCACAGAGTGACAAAATTCAGTAGGGTCTGGAGATTCATTCATCAAGTCTGTTAATTTGAAGGTACACTCATCTTCTCCAACTTTTAAGGTCATTTTCCCTTCATGAACATTAATCAAGGCCTTAGTAGTTGCTAAAAATGGCCAGCCTAAGATCAGAGGCATTTCTGAATCCTCTTCCATGTCAAGGATTACGAAATCAGTTGGGAATGTGAATTTATCAACCTTTACGTACACATCCTCAACTATTCCCCGAGGGTAACGGACAGAACTATCCGCCAGTTGAACACATGTTCGAGATGGTTTTAGTTCAGAAATTCCTAACTGTTCCATAATCGATGTGGGCATCAAATTAAAGCTTGCACCTAAGTCTGCTAGTGCATCTTTAAAATGCATGTCCCTTTTATGTGTGACCAAGTCTTTCAAGAACTTGGCGTACTTCGGCATCTCCGTCAAGATATCCATCAATGGCATTTTGACCTCAGTTTGGCCCATGATATCTAAGAACTTCTTGAAGGCTTTTTCATCTGTGTTTTTCTTTACCCTTGATGGGAAGGGTATGGTCACCTTCTTTGGTGGGAGATCTCCGTTTGGATGTTGGGACTGGAAAGGTTCTTCGTCCTTCTTTTCTTCTGTCTTCTTTTCTTCTTCTTTCTTCTTCTCAGTTGGCTCATTGGCTGGTTCAGCCACAGAATCCTTCAGAGTTGGTTCAGAACCCTGGCCAATGCCCTTAGTTTCCTTCCCACTTCGCAAGGTAACAGCCTTGAGGTGTTCTCGTGGGTTGTTTTCAGTTTTGGCCGGCAGAGTTCCTGGAGGTCGGATCGTCATTTGTTCCATAAGTTGTCGAAACAAATCTTGCTTAGCCCTCTGGCTTTCTCGCATCGACTCCTCCAATCTCTGGATTCTTTCTTCATTTTTCTTGTCTCTTTCTTCTAGCATTTTCTTCATCTCGATCGTGGGATCCTCAGCTTGTCTCTGGTGTGGAGGGACATATGCTTGAGCATTCCCCCCTTGGTTGAAGTTAGGCCCTCTCTGATTCCAGTTGTTGTTCCCGCCTCCTTGTCTGAAATCGTCCCGCGGACGATTGTTTCTTTGAAAATTGTTGTTGCGCTCTCTCGAAAGATCATCGCGCCAGTGGGCTGGTTGGTACTGGTTTGTGGCCCATGGTCCTTCTCCCTTGTTTGCATACTGGGCCAGATTTGCTTCTCTAGGCTTCTCCTTGATCGGGCTTTCATAGTAAGGGCACTGGGCTGTTAAGTGTGCACCTGTACATGATTCACAAGATAGAACAAGTTTGTTTGAGTGTGAACTTGAACTGCCTTGATAGTAGTTATTAGCCTGAGCAACTGACTCGTATGGTTTGTTGGATCGGGAGCTTGCACTGAACTGATCTTGAATAGTTCGTTTGATCAAACTTTCCATGCTTGCCTTAAGTGCCGTCAAGGAATCCACTTCGTACATTCCGGCCTTCTGTTGTGGGGCTCGATCTTCATACCAATATTTGGCGTTTAAAGTTAGCCTCTCCACCAGATCCTCATTTTCTTCTGGCGTCATATCTAGGAAAGAGCCGACCTTAGAAGAGTGGTCGAGTTCTTTCTTTGATGGCACCAGAAGTCCTTGATAAAAATGGAACATCAGGCTATCAGCATCAATTAGGGCAGGTGGACATTTGATCTTCAGATCCTTGAATCTTTCCCATGCCTCGCTTAGGGATTCGATCGAATCTTGAGAGAAATTCTGGATCAATCGTTTGATTTTGGCAATGGCGGATGGTGGGAAGTACTCGTGCATGAAAGCTTGGTGTAGTGCCTCCCAGGTTTTGAAGTGACCCTTCGAGAACGTATTCAACCATCGGGCCGCCCTATCTCGAAGTGAGAAAGGAAAGAGCGATAGTTTGATACGATCGGAGGTCACTCCGTTCATCTTCAGCGTCTGGCAGGTTCGGGAGAACCATAGCATGTGGGCCCTTGGATCTTCCCCTTTCATACCCCCGAACTGATTATTCGAGACCATTTGAATCATGGCAGGTTTGATCTCGAATGTGTGGGCGTCAGTGTTCGGGAGTCCGATGGGGTCTTCTTCGACATAGGCGGGGCTCATGGCTTGGAGCACAGTCCGCCTACGTCCGTTATTTTCCTCCATTATGGGCTGATCAACCTCTATCTCTTCTTCTCCTCCCTCAGAATCCCCACCGGGTGAATTTTTCAAAGTATTTTGTCGGAGAATTTTCTCAGGATTTTAAGTGAATGGAGCAAAACTACCCCCACTAGTTGAGCGGGTTTGCATGTAATTTTGCCAAAGTATGTAAAGATGCTAGAAAATCGACCTAACCAATTTTCTACTAGGCTAACTATAAAAATTTATAACAGAAAAATTAAATTAAGCACCAATCCCCGGCAACGACACCATTTGACGAAAGAGTTTTAGCGGTAGTAAATTTCACTCTAAAAGAGATCGATTTATTCCCATGTCGTATTCACGTGGATTGGTGTTAAAATAAATTTTCTATTAAAATCTAGTTAGGCAAAGTTTTACTCATTGGGTTTGGAAGCCTTCTAAATTCGAAAAGTGTTTGTGGTTTGGATTTGAAACTGAGTTGGACAGAGTAATAAAATAATTGTTTGATAAAAAGGGAATATGAATTGATTTCAGGTAGTAGGAATTTTTCAGATATTTTAACTAGTTGGATTATTAAATTAACTAATTAATTTAGCTAGTGAGTAAACTCTATCACAATAACTCCATTAATTTTATCCTATCTCTAGGCATTATTAATGTGCTAGAATTGATTGACTAAATTATTTTTCTCATTCATTGACCAATGGACATAATAATTTTTCAAACATTAACTATAAATTGGTCAGATTAATTATTTAGAACATACAACAATTACTAGCAACTTAACATTTTAATTAAATTTAATATTCCAACATAATTATTTTTCCTACATTCCTACTACCCTAATTTCAATTCACATTCCTAATATATTTAAAAGGACATAGTAATAATAAAAAGTGGACACATTGAATAACAAAACATGTTTATAATATTAATTAAAGAAACTTACAACTTCCAGAGAAGCGGAATTGGAACAGAACTGGAACTGAAACTCCAAAAATAAACTAAAACTATGAAATTTTTATGAATTCTCGCTACTATGGAGAGGAAAAACCGAAGAGAAGAATGAATGGTTTGAAGGCTGATCGTCGCTGCCTTTTATAGGCTTAGGAATCTCCGGGGCGGGGTGTGGGGCGGCCGCCCGGCAGGTCGCCCTAGAGGGAATATCCGAATATTCCTTCGCAACTTGATGCCAGTTGCTGATATCTCGCGTTTGAACTCCGGGGCTGGGTCCGGGGCGGTCGCCCGAGAGGTCGCCCTGCAGTCAATTGAAATTATCTCTGCAAAAGTTCCGCCACTTGCTTATATCTGGCATTTGAATTCCGGGGCTGGGTCTGGGGCGGTCGCCCGGCCCAACCTTGGGATTTGGGCTTCAAATTTCTGTGCCAAGCTCCATATTTTGTGCTGAACATTTTTCTCTTCTGGAGCTATGGACGAAATTGAGTTTAAACATCTCAAATGTTTTATTTTCTTTCAAGTTTTTACTCCGTTTGAACCAGTTTCTGTTTGAAAATTCCAAATTTGTTTTGAACACCCTTTTCTATAAACAAAATGACAACTTCGAGATATTCCGGGGCTGGGTCCGGGGCGGTCGCCCAGCAGGTCGCCCGGCCCAACCTTGGGATTTGGGCTTCGAATTTCTGTGCCAAGCTCCATATTTTGTGCTGAACATTTTTCTCTTCTAGAGCTATGGACGAAATTGAGTTTAAACATCTCAAATGTTTTATTTTCTTTCAAGTTTTTACTCCGTTTGAACCAGTTTCTGTTTCAAAATTCCAAATTTGTTTTGAACACCCTTTTCTATAAACAAAATGACAACTTCGAGATATTTACGAAAGAAAATAAATATTTTTACTTTAATTAAATTTATTTACACACAAAAATGTTTAAATATAAGTAAAATAATAAGTACAAATTGTACTTATCAGAATTCCCTTCCTAAATCTACCGCCGTAGCCATGAACTTTGGATTTCTACCAAGAGCATGATTACCAAGTAGACCAACGAATTTTATGGTGTAAGGAAGAGTTTGAGAAGTTCTTTCCATGATGTGAGATACTCTTTCCATAATCGTGATATATTTATATCCTCTGAAACCTGACCATTAAGGGAGAGGTAATCATCATCAGGAAAAGTGGATTCGCAAAAATAATGGATATGATTTACCCACAGACAAGGACGTACTCACTAATACTATAGCTTGCTTACGATATGACATATCGAGACTCATGAACAGTTAGATTCAAAGTCCTTAAACACATTCAGTCCAGGACAAAAAGTCAAAGTGGCTAATGCCCTAAGACAACGACCCTTTGAGTAAACCCCAAAGAGTGAACATTGAAGGATGAAAACCTACGATTAACGTCGATAATTCCCAAACATTACATTCGTATCTTGTGACTCATACCCTTGAAATACTCAAATTTGTTGTGTTGATTACACACTTGAAATTAAACATCCCACTTGATCAATTCCATTGTTTGTATTGAACCATGAGTTTAACTCACGATTCTTTATTAAACCAAAAGATGTTTTATGATACCGATCATCGAAAACTATACTCTATGAATTCTTTAGATTCCAAAGAATGAGCCAAAGTTCCAACTTGTTGTTTAGTCCCTCGGAGGTATTATTTGTACTCAAAGTTTAAAAATTTTTAGGATGTTACATTATCGATGAGCATAATATCATTAACAAAAAGCATGCACCACAGGACTTCCCCTTAAACTCCTCGCGTCAAGACGTCCATCACTAGGGCAAACAAAAAAGGGCTAAAGGAAGATCCCTGGTGTAACCGCACCTCCATAGAGAAAAGCTCAGAGTCACCCCAACTGTCTTTACATTAGTCCTTGCCCTGCTATATATATCTTTGACTACACGAGTGTATGTGATCGACACCCCTCTCACCTCAAGACATCTCCACGAGACCTCCCTCGGCACCCCTCTCCTCTTGACTAATACACCGGCAATACCCAATATTCCGATGTGTCTCGAACTCTGCTAGCTCACCTAGTTCTAGCCTCAAATCTCTTCCTGCATTCAGTAAGCCAGGGAAATACTCCCTCCACCGATTAGCCACCTCACTTGGCTCAAACAACACACTACCATCACTTCCCTTCACACATCTCACATGTTCCAAATCATAATCCCTTCCTCTCACATAAAAGTCTCTTATCACCGCTCTCCTCCTGAATGTCATTATAATGGCATTCATAAGCTGCATTCTTTGCCCACGTAACCTCTAACTTAGCCTCCTAACGGGAAATTTTATACTCCGCTCGAAGAGTCACCCTAACTGTTAGAATAAGTGACCAACGCTAGAGGGGGGGTGAATAGCATTTGATCGTAGAAGTCGCAGGAATAAAAAAAAATTAAGAGCGTGAAAAGTAAAGAGCGTAGAAAAAGTAAAGGAAGCACACCAAGTTTTATACTGGTTCACCACAACGTGTGGCCTATCCAGTCTCCCCCACACTACTTCCGTTAAGCTTACGGGTGCTTAACAAACCGTTACAACTTGAGAACTCGAGTCCTACGAGCCTCAACAACACTTGCTCGGAGATACCGCACTCCAAGACTTCAACCCGAAGGAAAAACACCTTTCCTTCGTACAACCGAGGGGAACAAACTTCCCTTAACGTCTATAAACACTAAGAACACTCAAGACCAAGGCTCTCTTAAAAGAGTGAATATGAGTAAAGTAATACGCTCAAGATCACAACACGAACTTCACAAAAATGGCTCTTGAAAAGCTGTGAATAATGTATGAATGATATGCAATGAAAGAATGGGAGTTGTGAAGTAATCTGATGTGTAAAGTAGACCCAAACACCCCATTTTATAGTGGAAAAATAGGCTCCAGCGGATCAAAACATTTAAGGGGTGATTGGCACAATTTGTGGGATTTGATTAAAATTGGATCAGCTGAAATTCACCCAGACAGCGCTGTCCATGGCTTGGACATCACTGTTCTAGGCTTGCGTTTTGAAAATTAGGAAGCAACGGTCATGCCAACAGCGATGTCCAATACCCCTACATCGCTGTTTTGGCTGTTGACTTCCAAACAAGGAAAGTTTTAGCCATAAATTCCCCCCAACGGTCAGGTTCCTACATCGATGTTCACAACTTGAACATCGCTGTTTAGGTCTGACTTTGAAGGTGGAAAGTTTGGCCTGACATCGCTGTTGCTGGGACAACAGCGCTGTCTAAAAACTTTCTGCCAAAGGAATTGTTTTTGGCTTAGGTTGGACAGCGATGTAGGGAAGGCTACATCGCTGTTCCAGATGTTTCTGGAAACCTAACCTTGGCTCAACAGCGATGTCTAACATCCAACATTGCTGTTGGAAGACTTAATGCCAAACCATGGTTTTCAGCTTCCCATGCCAGACAGCGCTGTTGGTTACACCAACATCGCTGTTGGGCTGGTTTAGCCAGACCCATGGTTGGTTTAGTCATGCCGTTAGCCGATGTCAAAAACCACGGCTAGCCAAGTTTGCGCCGTTTCGCATGGTTTTCACTAAACGACCAAAAACGAAAGGTGGTTTTTGAAGCGTTTTTGTTGGAGAACTATTTAAATATGCCCAGAAGTAAACAACAATCATAAAAATTTTAAAACCACTTGGTTAGTTTGGATGCCAAAAACCAATACCGATAACCGAAAGTCGAACGCCAGTTTCTGAAACCCGAACGCCGGATGGCTTGGTTTTCGATTTGGGCGAACTCCAAGTGTTTTTAGGCATGTTTAAAACTTATGAAAAACATTTTTGAATATGCAAAAAAGTATTTTAATGAAGCGAGCCTAGAGAGCCAAGTTATGAAGTTTGTGCCGGTCTTGATCACATTAAGACCGACTCAATAAATTCTAAGTCTTCGTTCTTGGTTCTTGGTTCTTGATTCTCATTTCATAATGCCATGTTCCTTCGCCTTTGTTTTGCTCAGTTTAGCCTTGTTATCGTCACGGCGGTTTGGCATTATCAAACTCTTTCATAAAACGAACACGGTTTAGTACGTCATAGGTGTAAACCCGTGTTCCAACAATTTCCCCCTTTTTGATAATGGCAAACAAGATGGGGATATGCATACTAAGTGATATTTGGTTTTCAAAAAGTGTTTGAAAAAGTTCCCCCTTAATTTGTGCTTAAAAAACGAGTAGTCATATTAAAATCAAATGATCCCGTTTTTAGAGGCGTTCCCCCTTAGTGTATGTATAACCCTTTTCTTCCCCCTTTTGACATTAACAAAAAGATAAGAGATAATTTTATTTATTAAATTGGGAAATAGCGGAGTACAACGGAAGCGATTAAAGAAAAACAGGACAATAAAAAAAGAGATAGAAATTCTAGGGGTGTCCTAGTCTTCGTCTTTGGTTTCCTCCTCCTCGTCGTTGATGGCCATCTCATCACCGTCAATGGCGTCGTCAAACTCATCCTCGTCCGGGGAGCTTGACAGGGCGTAGGAGGCATCGTCTTCGTCCTCGTCACCGTACACTTGCCCAAAGAACGTGCCATGGTACGGTGGGGGGACATAGTTAACGCGTTGGAAGTACGCGTTCATGGCATGCCCTTGGCGTTGGACAGCCTCGTCGAGCCGCTCAAGGTAGCCATCCATCCCGTCAACTTTGAAGTGAAGCCGGTTGAGGGAGTCGGTGATGGAGGCAAGGTTGGCCCGGGCCTGGAGTTCGGCTAGGCCAGCGGCAGTGGCAGTGCGGCGTGGCGCGGCAGTGGCAGGCGCGGCATTGTCCAACCGCTTGGTGAAGGTTTGGGCGCTGATCGTCCAAAGCTTCGTGGGCTTTGTGAGCGGGCCCACAGTGGTGGTTACCTTGAACCATTCAAGGATGTCCATCACCACGAACGGGTACGGGAGGAGGTGATCGTGGTCGGTGGACGCGGCGATCGTCATGTTGATCATGACAAACTTCGCCCAATTGATTGGGGCCGAGTGCATGATCGCATGGATGAGCTTGAGGTCCTCACCGGACATGATCGTGTGCCAATGCTTCCGGGGTTTGATAATCCGGGACACAATGTAGAGGAGGAGACGGCCTTCGGGGTTCGCGGAGTGGATGGTGGGGCGGCCCGAGGCGTGCCGGATGAGCTCGGTGATTCCAAGCTCGTTGAGGATAAGGCCCTCGTTGTTGAGCACCCAGTCCTCTCCGCCATAGTGGGAGACGTCGTCGCCTTGGTAGGGGAGGCCGGCGATCCGCCCAAGCTGTTCGACGGTGAGCTCAATCTGTGTGGACTTGACGAGGTTGTAGATGACGTTGTCCTCACGCCGGAGATTCGAGTAGAAGGCCCGAATCAGTGCCAGGTTGATCTCCTTCCGAGCCCGGGAGACGAACGGCCATAAGCCGGTTTGGTGAAGCTGTGCATCTAGGTCGTCGTAGCCTTGCAGCTCCGGTAGGCGCTCCGGGACTATCCGTGGGGGAGCCACAACCTGTTTAGAGAAGAAAGTGAGGAAACGGGTGCGCTTCTCCTCAGAATCGAACCAGAGATACGATCCTTCGCCGTAGTAGAGGCGCTCCTCGGAGTTTGTTGACGGTGCCCGGGATTGGGACTTTGATTTCCCGGAGGTGGCAGCCCTGCTCTTGTCTTTGCCCATGGTGAAGAAATCTCAAAAGAAAAATGTAGAGAAGATGAAATCTGCAAAGATATTGAAGAGAATTGTGTTTGTGTGGGTAAAAGTGAAGAGAGGGGGTCCCAATATATAGAAAAGAGGGGTTCCCAACGTTTAGATTTCAAAAATATGGCTGTTGGAGCAAAAAATGCAGGTGCTAACGGTTATTTTTTTTGAAAAATTCAACGCGAACAGCGATGTTCTAAAGGCGACATCGCTTTTAAGACAGCGTTGTTGTACCTTTGTACAGCGCTGTTCAGCGTTAAGTGTTAAAAACCAGGTGTCAAATGGACAGCGATGTTGGGAATACTACAGGTATGTTCCAAAAGTTTCTGGAAATGTTTAAGGGTTTGAACCCATTAGAAAAGCGCTGTTGGATTTCCCTACATCGCTGTTTTACGATTTGAAAAAAATTGTAAAAATGGACAGCGATGTTGCTCCAGTGTACATCGTTGTTGAAGAACTTTCTGGTTTTGCTTGAAAAGATGGTGTTTAGAAAGACAGCGATGTTTAAGAAGATTACAGCGCTGTTGGAAAAGATTCTGGAAAGCAAAGGTAAGGGGACTCCCTGGGACAGCGCTGTTGGTGTATTGTTCAGCGCTGTTGGCCCAAGTTTGTTGACGGTGTTTCCTTCTACATTGGTCTCCTTGATAGCGCTGTAGGAACAGCGATGTTGTCCTTCTTACAGCGCTGTTTGCATGGTTCCCCGTGGTTTTGTTGCTTGTTGATTACCTACAAAGTAACACTTTGGTACCCAAAATATTTTTATGGGTCCTTGGAGGTTAATTGGTTTTTATTATCCACACACACACCGAAAGTTTATTTCCACACACACACACACACACGATTTGATGATTATTTAGGGGTTACCTTGGCCAACCCGTCGTCCCGTGGTTGGCGGGTTCCAATCTACCTGAACGGAGTGCCGATACCTCGGTGTGGTCTGTGTTGGTTCCGGTAACGGAATGTGGATTTTCTTCTTTTCGTCAAAGTAGAAGAAATAATATGGTTTCTTTTGTGCATTGTCCTGTGGAGGTTGTTTATGATACGAATATCCTTTTCCAAAGGATTTCTTTTCGTTAGCACTAAATATGTTGTGTGTTTCATTATAGGTGAAGTGCCTATGTCTGGTAAAACACACGGGAGCTATATGTCCTACCCTATTGCAATAATTGCATACTACGTTTGGGTTGAACATATGCCTAGGTTGATAATAGCTAGGGGGCCTAACCATGTTTGTCCTATTTTGAGAAAAGGATGGTTTATGCATGTTTTCAAAAGGATCATTTCTAGGTGTTCTCATATTGTCTCTTCTATCTTGAGAAAAATTATTTCTATGCACAAATTCATTTTGATAATTTTTCTTAAGTTGTCTACCATCAACATCTTCATTCGTAGGTTTTTGTCTAGGTTGTCTAGTGTTCTTAGATTGACTAGATTTTCTATTAACTTGATTTTTAGCTTTCTTACGTTGAGCCTTAGGATGTTGTCTAGGTGTTTGCTCAATGTTTTCTTTATCCTTAGCTTCGTTTTTATTAAAACCTATTCCTTCTTTAGAAAAATGCATGGTGTCAAGGAGTAAATTAAGATCTTTGTGCGGAGTATTGAATTTCTTAACCGTACTCTCAAGTTTTGTGACTTGTTCCTTTAAAGCTTTACAAGATTCACATTCGTTTGAGGAACTTTCCGGTTTGTTGGCGCTTCTTTTGCCATAAAATTTATTTTCTTGTTTTAACTTCTCATTATCTTTTTCCAGCTTTTCAAAATCATTTTCAAGAGTAGAGAGGCGTTTCTTTAACGATTTGTTGATTTTAGAAGCGCTAACAAATTCATCATAAAGTTCATGAAGTGCTTCTTGCATTTCTTCAAAGGTGTAAGAGTCGGAGGAAATGGTACATACCTCTTCTACATCGTCGGTTTGATCTTCGTGTGCCATGAGACAGAGGTTGGCAGCTTCATCGTCGGCTTGGTCGGTTGACTCGTCGCCGGAGTCGCCACCCCAAGAGATATATGCCCTTTTCCTTTTGAAATGACGAGCATTCCTTCCGCTTCTCGAGCTTGTTCTTGATGTGCCCGGCTTCACCACATCCATAGCACACAGGGCCATCCTCAACCTTCTCTTTCTTCCTTAGAAGTTTACAGAACTTCTTCATGACAAGCTTGACTTCATCATCGTCGCTTGAATCATTCACCGTTGATTCTTTGACGGCTTTTAATGCTATCTCTTTCCTTTGGTCATTCAAAGACGGATTAAGAATAGTAGATTCATAAGTTTTTAGATTACCTCTTAGACCGTCGATGGTGACATTTGATGTGCCGATTGATTCATAGATGGCATCGGCCTTGGATCGCCATTCGGACGTCAAGCTCCGTAGGATCTTTCGCACAAGATCCCTGTCGGTGTATGTCTTCTTTAATGCATGAAGATCGTTGACTATCTTGGAAAATCGGTCGAACATGTCATCGATCTTCTCGTGCTCCTTCATCCTGAACATCTCATACTCTTGGGTGAGAAAGTCGATCTTAGCTTCACGTACTTGGTCCGTTCCTTCATACGTTACCTCGAGCTTATCCCACATCTCCTTGGCGGTTGAGCAGCAGGAGATCTTGCGGTAGTCATCGGGATTGACCGCGCAGTAGAGCATGTTAATCGCCTTTGCATAGTCTTCTACTTTTCTTGATGTCTTCGGCATCAAATTCGTCTTCGGTCTTGGGGATCAACTTATCTCCGACTTTCTTCATTGGCACCTCTTCCCCGTTTTTGATAACCAACCATAATTGGAAGTTCGTGGAACGAATATAGATTCTCATTCATTCTTTCCAATATGTATAATTGGTTCCATCAAAAAGAGGTGGCCGTGTGGTTGATTGCCCTTCACCTATTCCTGCATACAAATTTCTAGAAGAAGAACCCATGATCGCTTTTACTCTCAAACGGTTAAGTTTGGACGCGAGTTAGGCTCTAATACCAATTGTTAGAATAAGTGACCAACGCTAGAGGGGGGGGTGAATAGCGTTTGATCGTAGAAGCCGCAGGAATAAAAAAAATTAAGAGCGTGAAAAGTAAAGAGCGTAGAAAAAGTAAAGGGAGCACACCAAGATTTATACTGGTTCACCACAATGTGTGGCCTATCCAGTCTCCCCCACACTACTTCCGTTAAGCTTACGGATGCTTAACAAACCGTTACAACTTGAGAACTCGAGTCCCACGAGCCTCAACAACACTTGCTCGGAGATACCGCACTCCAAGACTTCTACCCGAAGGAAAAACACCTTTCCTTCGTACAACCAAGGGAAACAAACTTCCATTAACGTCTATAAACACTAAGAACACTCAAGACCAAGGATCTCTTAAAAGAGTGAATATGAGTAAGTAATACGCTCAAGATCACAACACGAACTTCACAAAAATGGCTCTCGAAAAGCTGTGAATAATGTATGAATGATATGCAATGAAAGAATGGGAGTTGTGAAGTAATGTGATGTGTAAAGCAGACCCAAACACCCCATTTTATAGTGGAAAAATAGGCTCCAACGGATCAAAACATTTAAGTGGTGATTGGCACAATTTGTGGGATTTGATTAAAATTGGATCTGCTGAAATTCACCCAGACAGCGTTGTCCATGGCTTGGACATCGCTGTTCTAGGCTTGGGTTTTGAAAATTGGGAAGCAACGGTCATGCCAACAGCGATGTCCAATACCCCTACATCGATGATTTGGCTGTTGACTTCCAAACAAGGAAAGTTTTAGCCATAAATTCCCCCCAACGGTCAGGTGCCTACATCGATGTTCACAACTTGAACATCGCTGTTTAGGCCTGACTTTGAAGGTGGAAAGTTTGGCCTGACATCGTTGTTGCTGGGACAACAGCGCTGTCTAAAAACTTTCTGCCAATGCAATTGTTTTTGGCTTAGGTTGGACAGCAATGTAGGGAAGGCTACATCGCTGTTCCAGATGTTTCTGGAAACCCAACCTTGGCTTAACAACGATGTCTAACATCCAACATTGCTATTGGAAGACTTAACGCCAAACCATGGTTTTCAGCTTCCCATGCCAGACAGCGCTGTTGGTTACACCAACATCGCTGTTGGGCTGGTTTAGCCAGACCCATGGTTGGTTTAGTCATGTCGTTAGGCGATGTCAAAAAGCTAAGTTCTCCAAAGTAAAAACCAAGTATTGAAAACATTTGTTTAATGCATTTTGCTAAGAAATCAAGTAAAACATCTTTAAAACCACGTCATTTAGTTGAAAACCACGGCTAGCCAAGTTTGCGCCGTTTCGCATGGTTTTCACTAAACGACCAAAAACGAAAGGTGGTTTTTGAAGCGTTTTTGTTGGAGAACTATTTAAATATGCCCAGAAATAAAAACCAATCATAAAAAGTTGAAAACCACTTGGTTGGTTTGGATGCCAAAAACCAATGTCGATAACCGAAAGCCGAACGCCGGTTTCTGAAACCCGAACGCCGGATGGCTTTGTTTTTGGTTTGGGCGAACTCCAAGTGTTTTTAGGCATGTTTAAAACTTATGAAAAACATTTTTGAATATGCAAAAAAGTATTTTAATGAAGCGAGCCTAGAGAGCCAAGTTATGAAATTTGTGCCGGTCTTGATCACATTAAGACCGACTCAATAAATTCTAAGTCTTCGTTCTTGGTTCTTGGTTCTTGATTCTCAGTTCATCATGCCATGTTCCTTCGCCTTGGTTTTGCTTAGTTTAGCCTTGTTGTCGTCACGGCGGTTTGGCATTATCAAAACCTGTCATAAAACGAACACGGTTTAGTACGTCATAAGCGTAAACCCATGTTCCAACACTAACCTCCTCATCAGTACAGTCCACAAACCTCCTATATGCAACCTTTTTAGCTTCCACCTTGTAACGCCCCAAAATACACCCTAAAATTCATTAATAATTATTATTCAATTAATCAAATTCGTTTTGATTAAAAAAATTATTTTTAGGCTTTGGTCCAAAATAAAATGTGTTTTGATAACAAATAACACAATCTGGATAAATCTCATAGAGATAAATCCAATATGTTGACTTATTGTGTGATCTTGATTGGGAACATGAGTACAGACCCTAATTAAAAATAAATGAAGAATTAGTTTATGATATAAACATTGAAATGGTTTATTGAAATAAATCATGAGAATAAGTAATATAAATTAAATGTGAGAACCTTTTATTAT